GTTATACAATACTCGTACTAGAGGTGTTCACCAGCGTTAATTTATGGAAAAAGATTAGTGTATCAATTTTGAAAGTTAGGCATAATGCTGTCATGGACTTTTTTAGAATAGAAATTATGGCACATGAGTTTTGTTTAACTTAACCGTTTACGCAGCGCACGCAACGAAAGCTATCAAGTGGAATATTTTTCGTTTTTGCAAACCTTTTCCATTGATGCTCCGCTCCCGATGACCAATCGTGTAATTGTTATTATGATATACAAGTGTTCACGTCCTTTTTTTTAATTCGTTGTCAGTCCAGCTATGTATAAAAATATACTTAGACCGTGAATATGGTTGTGCAGGGTGCATATAGCACCGAAGAAATAGGGAAGTATAATTAGAAGAACAAAATAATATACCTACTCAAATTATACAATCTGGATTTTATTCATAAATGATATACTTTATCACAATACATTATAACGCAACTAAATAAACTATGCATTTTAAACATTGTTCCTAATTAACTATATCTATAAGCTAAGTATAACTTCAATATTTTTAATCATACAAACTACGATAAAATATTGTATAGATTTTATCACAATAAAATGCTAGGTATTTCACGTGGGATCCGAACCTGTCGTCGAGAGGCAAGACATGTTATTGTGAGTCTGCATTATACTTAACTGATAAAGCTTAAAACAAACGATATTATGTACGAGTATAGTCAACAACACATAAACCACTGTCAAATTTGCCCAATTTGAACCATAATTATAGTTTTATTAAGGACAGTTTCCAGGATTTTTCACCCGAGTGAATTGTTGACTACACTAAAAATGATTTTTTTATAATATCTTTTTTCTAGTAGGGCGATTTTTTTTCTTTACGTTATTACAAAGAAAAGAATGTTGCTTTAAAAGAGTTTCGCCATTTGCAAATTTATATGGGTTTCGAATCCATTTTATTACATTTTCTTACAATCACAAAACAAATTTATAATACAAGCTTTTTTTTTATGTTACAATTCAATGTTAGCTTACGTAAATAAATGGATGACAATAACACTGGTGTCGATTCTGGCATGATTCTCTAAACTTAAAACTAAATTTAACATCAGTCTCTCCTTTTCATTATGTACAAAGAATGACAAGGATGCACTGTTGTCAAATTTCATTTGAGATTAGGCCCGTAATATAGAATGTGACTCAAGCAGCATTTAAACTCGAATCACTCAAAGCTAGTTTTAAGTGTAGATCACTACTTAATTGCTTAGCATATTAAAGGTCGCGTTTTAAGAGCAAATGAGCTGAAACCAGAATCAAAAATTGTTTAGAACTCCGATCAAAAATGTCTATGGGCTAAGTATGTTTTTAATTACACTTAGAAAAAAAAACAACATAGCGATATGTCAAACTTCATAAACTCGCGTTACAATAATAATTGATAATGTTGTGATCAATCGCATCTTAAAACCACAGAGGTTTGAATTTATGCGATGATGTACGCCTGCACGACAATATTTAAATTGTTAACGGAGTTACTTTATTACATTAAAAAAAAATAAAAAAAAGAATGAAATAAATTATATATTGTATTCTCTTCTTAAGAATGGAGTCGACCATACATAAAACAAATCTTCGCTTGAGCGTAGATTTTGACGTAAATGTCCTTCTGAAATAAGTGTTATTCAGCTGAGTCGTTCTGTGAGTAAAATTCGTTCGTTTTGAAACTACTTTTAAAACTAGATTCCTTACTGAGAAATGTTCTATAATACGGGCCATCAGAGAATCATGCTAGAATCGACACCACTATAAAACTAATTATAAATGATCTCTAAAAGTAACATAATCATTTATTATATTATAAGGTAAATAATTATAGCAAAACATTACAACAGATCGATGATTAATTTCCATACCATAACTATTATTTGTACACTTTGGTAATGTTTAAACTGTGAGGGAGGGCACATCGCCCAACGTGGTTACTATGGCTATCCCTATCGCTTACGTTTTCATTTTGTTATTTCTGACCGCCGTACGTTTTCAAACGCCCTGTGCTCCTTTTTTTCTTTTGTATTGGTAACAACAATATCAAAGAAAATGAGCGTGAGCTATATAAAAACCTTCGGCGGTTAGAAATAACAAAATAAAATCGTAAGCTATAGCGATAGAAAAAGCAATTCCGTAGGAAATTGACCCCCAGCGCTGCGAATCTCGAATGAATGAAACTGCACGCGAAGCGGACGTCCGCTCCGTGCTCCCGCTTAACGCAGCGCAGACCATTTATCACAAAATGTTGCATACCTACATACGTATTCACTAATGGCCCCTCTACAAGACTGGTCATAACTCAGCCACAACAATGCTACAATCTACAAACCCTTTGACCTGCGTTGAAAAACCTAAACCCCAAAATGCAGGCCATCACTCCAAAACTCACATGCAATTGTTATTGGTCATCGTTGGCTCAATAAGCCACAAGAGACCACTACGACATCAAGCTACCCAGCATTAATTCAAACATAATTACATAGAGGACGGTCAAGACATGTGTCAGCTCAATTCAACGAGAGCTGTATATAAGGGCCGCCATTTTCAATCTATTTTATGATTTAATCATGTTACACTTAGCTAACGCCTGCTTGTTACACCACTTCGTACGAGCACTTTCTTCACCGTTTTAAATTCCCGTCTTAGCCTTATTACAACCCTTCCCATTATTATTTTCAACTTTAAATCTAAAACCAAGCATTTAAAATGGAATGTCGAACTATAAAAACAGATAAATGAATTCACAATACTACTTGAAGCGTTAAAAATAATGCTCGTGCGATAACTAAAAGCAGATAAGTACCAAAGCTACGATGCTAGATAGAACACTCCTGTGTTACAAATTATTAAAATTATCAAATAATATTTATAAACAATGTTTTTTTTTAGATTCACGAAAATCTTTCCCCGTTTCGATTTTCTGATTCACGCAAATCTTTTGAAGACTTTCGAGAATAAATCAAAAAAATGAATAAACAGAAACATTTAATAAAGTCTATTCAAAAATGTAATAGTTATTTACGTAATGATTATTATTTTAATATGCTAAATAGAAAATATAATATGCATGTAAGTAATGACTCTTACCTATTTCTTAATTTGCAAAGAAAATATTCGTTAGCACACATACATGAGCGAAATCAATAATTAATACTATATTTTAAAACTAAATGGTAAACATGAGAATGGCTTACAAATATTATGTATTTGCTACTATTAGATCGGAAGATTATATATTCCTTTATTTAAGGTACATTACTTAGTAATTATGATACACTATAATCATATTCTCAATCGGAATAATAAATTATATATGTATTTGCTTATATATGTAATTAGGTTTATACTTTATTTATAATGCAAAATGCTAGCACAATTTTTTGCACTTTTGATAAAAATGTAAATTTCCTGTGAACTATATTTATTTTAGACTCAATCTTCCTTTCTCTTTCAGTCGTATATGTATGTGAAAAATAAAGGTAATGTAATGTGTAATTACTTTCATTAAGAATATACATAAACCAGTTTTGCAATAATGTATGGCAGTTGTCCGAGCGCCGGCGAAGAAGCGACTAAATATCGGCAACTTTCTCGCTCAAGAAACGTACAATAGATATACTTTCCGTGTAACAAAAGAGATGCATGGTGGCGTGATTTTTCACCAGCAGTGTGAACAATCAGCGTACAACTATAAATACCTACATGAAAAAGTAGAATCCAGGCGAAAAATTATTGCATGGCTTCTGAATTTAAATTATGATGAAGCCAAGAGCATACTAATTTAGAATGTACTCGTAATCCAATTTTTCTTAAACATAGCACTTACCACGAGCTTGTTTTTCATATTATTAATAATTATTTAATTTAAACTTAAGCAGTTTTGCTATATGGATTACTAAACATTTTAATCATTTTGCAGGGATATGGTCTGGGGGCCTGGTGTTCTATTGTACAGGCAGTTTAGACACCAGTCTCTCGACAATATATTACTGAAATATATCTATTCTTTGTATTTACAAACAATATATCTGTACCAAAATATTTGTATTGTGGCGAGACTAAATAAACATTATTATTATATTATTATTATTATGCATCTCTTTTGTTTACAGGGAATGTATATACACTCTACATTTTTTGAGCGAGAAAATAGTCGATAGTTAATCGCTTCCTCACCAGCTATGGGAAAGGTCTATACATCCGACTGCTAAATCAAAAATTAAAACATGACCAAGTGTGAGCGAGTCAGGAATGTTTTGTTTCAAAAATATTTTAAAATTAAGAACAACCTTTTCATAGGGTTGTCGTATCTGGAGAGTTGGGGCACAGACATTTCATACAGATTCTCAGACCAAATAAAAAGTATAGACGGAGTCTGCCGAACAAAAAAGTGAAGCCGATAAAACTACGCCTCGCCGTGTACATACACAGTTACACGCACACACATGCAACGAAACTACGCCTTGGCTTCCTAGTCGAGCTATCCCGGCGCGCGGAGTGTGACGTAATAATAAAAAACAATATTTATTAGAGAAAATGCCGAATTGTGTAGTGAAAACGTGTAGAAACCAATCTTCCAAGAATAAAAAACAGGATGGAATCACATTTCATACGTAAGAAAAATTATAAACTAATATTTTCAATTAATCAAAATCAAATTTGAGGTTGTCGCCTTGTAAACAAAACCGAATGAAATGCTGCCATGATTATACGTTACAGTTTTACCCTTTTGTTGGGTAGCGTGAAATATAACGTAACGTTATTTTATTAAATACATTTTGTAGCATACTTTTATATTATTCGAATATTGTAATGCATAGATAAACAATTACACGAAACATCTTTATTATCTTTTTTCTTTATGTATTCGTATAAATTTTTGGGATGTAATACACATTATATATTATACGTTTTTTTTACGATTTCCTAATCGAGATCAAAATCTAAAAGAGAAGTGGATTGCAGTCAAGAGTAGAAATGAACCAGTGTGGCAACCAGCTTCCCGCAGCGTGGTTTGTTCGTCTCATTTTCAGAGCGACGATTTGTACTACACAACAAAAGGGTTACGTCGTGTAAAATAAAATGCATATCCAAGGGTATTTTTTTTTACTGAACTTAATATAGTTACTTAGGTTAATTTATATTTTAAGATTTCAATAATTCTTCAGTCGTGCAGACGGTTGAAACACAAAATTACACCAATTTTATTTCACAATATCCGCTATGAACGAATTAAAGAATAATTAAAATATGACGCTAACCGCACTCCATGAAATCCCACCAAAAACTCCGAAGGTTAAGCTTTGTTTTTATTATATATTTTTTAACTAAACTTTTATTAGTGTAACAGTTATTAAACTTATAAATCACAGGAATCCCAGATCTCCAAGCGCAGGACCTTTGGCTCACGAGAGGTTGGATCTAGGGCTAGTGTAAAACTAATCTGGACTAGTTTAGAGAATAAGCCTACGATAGTTTTTTCTAATATTGGGGTATTATAAATGACTATTGTAACACTGGCTAATGCACTACATACATACAAAACCGGCTTCACTTTTTTGTTCGGCAGACTCCGTCTTTACTTTTTATTTGGTCTGAGTATAGATCATATAGGAAAACTGGGACGTGGGAACAGTATGGTCGATGCCAAAATTTTGCATTATTTAATGATTTGATTTCTTTTCTTTAGAAAAGGTTATTTGTTTAAAGGTATATTATTATTATGCGATTAAATGAGTCCAACTCAGATATTTATATATTAGTGGATTAGAGTTCATTTGGTATCATGGACTAATAAAAATAAGATTTCTTTTTGCCAACATCATCTGTACATTTAAAATACCTACAAGTATTTAAAATTACCTACGCATACAAAAACATGACATTACGTATTTGTTTAATCTCAATTTGTGCAAGTACTTATATTGCATATGATATTTCCAAAGTTTAAGAGACATTGTGGATGATTTAAAACATACCTAAACATTTTCTTTTTTTATTCTTTTAATGAAGCTAAAGTTAACTCATTTAAAAAAAACTTGTACCTACTGTAAATTATAAATGCACAAACTTAACTCGTCAAGTTTTGTTATCAAAAATTTACATTTGATGATGGTTTGTTAGGCGATAGTAAAGCTACCAGCGGGCATTTTTGAAGCTAGCAAAAATAACTATTTTAGGCCAATGTTAAAGTACGGTTGTGAAAGCAGAAAGCGACCATTGGTCATTTTTAGAATCAAACTGTGCGGGCATTTTTGAAGCAAGCGAAAGTACGATCTACATGTTGTAGATAAATGCCCGCAGGTTGCTTTCTGCTTGCATTACTTAGCTCTTATTGTTATGAATAAAGGTTGAGTTAATAACTTTTGGTAACCAAGGAATAGATTAAAAAAATTGGGGTGGTATTGTGTCAAAAAAATTATAGCGTTCAATTTGCAGAGAACAAATCAGAGCGACATGATAAAAGAAGACAAATTTATTTCCTTGTCTGTTCAAAGTAAACTTGGAGCAAGACGGTTCAAAAAAATAATGGTCGATTCATTTACACGAAACTTTTAATCTATCCCGTGGTATTTAAACAAGAAGTCTTGACTGCGCATAACACTAAATGTTATCAACAACAAGTTTTCATGTTTACGCTATAGCTGAAAAGGTTTTTGACAATGGGCATCATTTCATGGCGAAGGGCCGGCAGATTCGAGTATCCTCTATGAACCTAACAACGTGTGACTACACCTTCTGATTAACCATTATTGTATAGATAGCATTGTTGCTTTCAATTAAAAACAGTTGCAAATATAAATAAAGGTAATATTAATTTCGACTTTTTTTTATCTACCTATACATAAATTTATCTTAACTTATTTTTTACAATTCTTTGATTATTTATGTCTTAGATAGAGAGTGGCAGCGTAGATGTGCGTTGAAAAAAATATCTCCGACCTGGTGGGGTTCAAGGGCGGATCCAGGGGGAGGGGAGTAGGGGTCATTACCCCCCCCCCCCCTTGGGCTGGGTCCATCTGTACCCACTGTGACTTGACCACGACTATATGACCCCCCCCCACCCCCCTCCTGGCGCCAAAGCTGGATCCGCCCTTGGTGGGGTTTAATTCGTTTTCCTTCACTTAGTGTTCAATGCAACGCCTAACGATACGCACGTCAATTACAGAGTTTCGTGTTGAAATTATTGCTGGAAAATGCCGAATTGCACGATAAAAATTTGCCGAAATTATAAAGGACGCATAAAAACAAACAACCAACAAAGTCACTTAACATCGATAAGTAACTTACAACATATTAGTTAAAAAAAATACGATCATCTTGATCACCATCTTGACATTGTCAAAGTGATGTCAGTGTCTCATTACAAAATTCCCCAAAAAAAATAAGTATGGCATAATCAAAAGTAAGTATGGAGTTGCAAAAATCGAGAGAGCTTCGATTAAAAAGATACTGATGACGGAACAAGTGAAGGCTTATCAAAATGACTTCTTTTTTTGCGAATGTATAAATAAGTTATTTGAAAGATCTAAAATGTATAAGGCAGCAGGGAAAATATTTTGAAAAGGATAAATAATTTCATGTTTAATTTGTGCCATCTCCCCCTTCAGCTCCAGTGCGACAGTAAAAACATACCGTTCTATCCTAGTTCGTATATTACTGATAACGATATCTAGGGTGGGAGGTAAGTACAGTTGAACTCCACACGGGCTACATTGTGAACACTGTAGGCTAACATAGTCACTCAGTCTTATAAAACTTTTTGAAATAAAAGGTTGAAAATGTAACCAAACCATATCGATAGTTAAATTCTTAAAATTAGTTTCATTAGTTTACGGTTTGTTTCAATTTTTTAATAATCTTACGCACCGAGACGCAAAGAATGACATTTCGCGAGTGTAAAACACAAGTATATAAAACCTGGCTTTCTTTTATCGCAGCATTTACAAGGTGACGCTCTATCTAGAGAGTAAATAATCAAAGGTCTAATTTTATCATAATAGTAAGTAAATAAATAAAAACTTTAATTTGAAAGTAAGATATCTTTAAATCCAAAAGATGTATATCCCATAGATGCATAACAATATAACAATTTCATTTGATTGATTTAAATGCAGAAATACAATAATACTTATAAGAAAAATGTATCCTTTCCTATGATATTTTCGTTTATATCCTAAAACTACTTACATTGTTATATCATGATACCTACAATTCAATAACTTAAATCATATGTAAAACTATTTTAGCGTAGCACCCAATCAGACTTGTATACTTTGACGTATTTATTAATTTAATAGTTCTACGTGTAACGAATAAATGTTACGTGATTTAATTGTCGTTTGTGTGTATATATGTATAAAAGGCAAGATTGTAGCAAAACTGTTAATAGAAATATAATTTTGTGACATTTCATAGTCTGTACGGAGCTTTCTATAAACGCCGCTGTCGTTATTGAGTAATAAAAATGTCAAGTGTGTAAGGCACTAAATACTTTACAAAACGAGGTACTAAAAACCCTTGTTTTTAATTTTAATTAAAGTTGATTTTGGTACTTACGTTGGGACAGCAATAGAACAACAGCACTTGGATAAGTATTTTTAATTGACGTCTGTGAGTGTGGTCGTTACCCTCTTTTTTAATGGAAGAATAGTGTGATGCATGATTTATGGAAGCAGGTACATAACCAGAGTTGAAGGGCAGCGGTAATTACAGATAGGGCATGAGCAGGGGCGTGTCGGCCTTCGCAGCCTGCCGCCTCGTTACGGTCATCATCAACCTATTAATACTCCCACTGCAGGGGCACAGGCCTTCCCTATGAATGGAATAGGGAGATTGGGCCATGACTCACCACGCGGGCCCAGTGCGGATTGGTGGGTGCTAACGACTGCAGTTACAGCCGGGACCCATCCAATGACCGACCACTGCGAAAGTTGCTTCATTTCAATGATCGCAACCGAACGCGCTAACAACTTGCGCCATCGAGCTCCTCAAAAGGTACGGTACTGCCCCACAATGCCCACCCCTAGCTACGGCCCTGTATGGAAGTTGTGAAGTTGGCAACGACCGCGACTATGCACAAGTTTCGATTCAGTGACTTCCCGTGTGCACCATAGGAGTAAAGAAAGGAATGAGCGGTCCCTTTCCAACTGTAAATGAAACTGGACAGATGTGTGAAACAGACGACGCAATCTTTGTGGCCAATAGTTAGTAATATTCCCTGCACCATCGCTTTCTTTTTCCTGGAAAAATGACTCATGCGAATGACGGTCAGTTCATACTCTTATTTAATTTACCTACTGTGCCGCGACTTGTACTAATTTAACAACCGCTATTAAGTCGCTTTTTACGGAGTGTGTATATTCATAACACTCTAATGGGTTGTAGCTTAATGGGGAAGAAAACGCAAAGCTCATTACAGATGGCGCTTCGGCCGTTTGACCCATAACATGCAACCTATCACTTCCAAGGCTGCGTTCTAAACCTTCGCTCTGAGTGCAACTTTTCATCCTGACGTTTCAATTATGACATAAAATGTATTCAAAACTTATGTCAAAATTGACATTTGTTGCACCTGGAGTGTAGGCCCAACTCTATCGGAATTTGTCACTTTTTCTTGTGACTTTGACCGCTATCTCGATTTGTTGTTATGGGATATTCGACACCTGCGCCTCTGGCGGGATTAAGAGGCAGTTTTCTTCCCCATTACAATGACAGACAAAATATCAGCATCATAATAACATCACACCGTGTTCGGGTCTTTTAAGAACTAAAAAATGTCTTTATACATTGCAAAAAAAGTATCATATCATAATAACAATAATTAAATATTTTATAATATACAGTAATAGTTTGTTATTACGTTGTCTTTAATTTTGACTTTTACCGATTGCAATGAGCATTTTTATGATTTTGTATAGTTATTAATTCATTTAAAATTATGGTTAGGTGCAATTCCGCTAGTAAAAAACTTATGTCAAAATTGACATTTGTTGCACCTGGAGTGTAGGCCCAACTCTATCGGAATTTGTCACTTTTTCTTGTGACTTTGACCGCTATCTCGATTTGTTGTTATGGGATATTCGACACCTGCGCCTCTGGCGAGATTAATATGCAGTTTTCTTCCCCATTACAATGACAGACAAAACATCAGCATCATAATAACATCACACCGTGTTCGGGTCTTTTAAGAACTAAAAAATGTCTTTATACATTGCAAAAAAAGTATCATATCATAATAACAATAATTAAATATTTTATAAAATACAGTAATAGTTTGTTATTACGTTGTCTTTAATTTTGAGTTTTACCGATTGCAATGAGCATTTTTATGATTTTGTATAGTTATTAATTCATTTAAAATTATGGTTAGGTAATTCCGCTAGTAAAACAATGTACATTATCAGAGCAAGTACACACTATCAATGCAAATTGAATATTGCATCTTGGATACAGAGTTTAATGTGATATGTAATTTTAGCCTGGAAGTTTATAGCAAACATACATACTTACTTAAAACATACTAGTTTACATATAAAACAGGTACAGGCAGGCACAAACAAAGAAACCATAAACTGCCCAATTCCCTCAATAGAGTGCGAATCTTATGACAAGCAAAAAAATAGAAATAATTTGGAGAAATTCGCCAGTTTTGGGTAACTTGATATGTAGCTAGCTGTGTACAATCATTCCAATCAGTAAAAAAGCTATAACGGCAAAAAATAGTTAAACATATAGGGTAAACATACAAATTTACCGAATGGGGAAACCACCCAATCATTGGCACTCTTCCGAGGTTAGTATGGTTTAAAATTTGAAAATTGCGATAATCTATTGTTAATCGTTTCCTTGTTTTTTCGGCTTATCTCAAAACTGCCAAAAATCGGAAAAGAGTGCCATGGATTGGTTGATTTTAAGTTGTTAAAAAAGGCACGACACAAAACTTTATTAAGGATGTTTTAATTGTTATTGTTCAAGTGATCACGAGTCTAGGCGTTGGTAGCACGTTGGCATGCTCACCGAAAACTAGCGCCGTCGTCCATTTCAACTGATCCTCTGAAACGGACCCAGCTATGGTGCTCCCAAACCAAGGCCGATCTCTGCTCCTGAAAAATAAGGCAATACTCAACGATATTAAATACCCTAGATACACCACGAGCGCTCAAAATGTGTCCCTATCAAGAAGTGCTTCAACACGACTCAAGCACTTCTTGGTTCACAGTCACGTGCGGACCGTTGAAAAAAAAACATGCCACTGAGCTCCGTGAAAAAAATGCGAAATAAATACTTATAGTATGTAAAATGAATTTTCGACAGGTATCTAATCAATGTTTGTTAATTTAACGTATTTGAAGCAAATATTGTTTTAATACTTACTATAAACTGATTTAATAGAAATTATTTGTGATATTCAAATGCATGGTCAGTAATATAGCTGTCTCTTTTTCTCGCGCTCCGTACCTGCTATATTGCTAACAGCGCATTCAGAAATGCGCGTAGAGTCAAAGAAATAAGGTCTATATTCTTCCGCATATAGCAATAAGTCGTAAAAGTTTACGAGCTTACATTTCAGACTGTTGTAACTCTTTGACGCCTGCGTTTTAATTAAGACCTTATACAGTGTGCTTTAAAGGTGATTTGCAATGGTTGAATAATGCTTTATATTGTTTAGACTACGCGATCATTTTACGGAACTCCGTGGATCGTCCGATGTACCTTTTGGACAAGTTTCGGGCATGATTTTGTTCGTGTTGGTGTATCTAGGGTATTTAATATCGTTGGCAATACTCGAAAACAATTTAAATACAAGCAATAATAAAAAAAAAGGTTGACTGGGAGAGAATGCTTTTAGCATTAAGTCCGCCTTTCGTACCATTGTTTATATTTTGGTCAATAAAGTTTAAATAAATAAATATAATATCGGGGGGCCAGTTGCCTAGAAAGGTTGCTATGGCTATCACTATCGCTTAGGATTTCATTTTATTATTTCTGACCTCCTAAGGTTTTCGAATACCTCACGCTCATTAGTATTGTTATTACTAAAGCAAAAGAAAAAAAAAGAACGCGAGGCATTTGAAAGCTTTCGGCGGTCAGAAATGACAATAGGAAATCGTAAGTGATAGCGATAGCCATTCCCGTTAGGCGATTGACCCCTGGGCCGGATTTAGAGGTGTGGAGGCTCTGGGGCAACTAAGGAGTGGAGTCCCTTATTTTTAAATCTGGCACCCGTGACTCGTCGAAATTTATTTATCGGGGCCTCAGCCCTGGGCCACATCCCCGCATGCCCTGCCTTAAATCCGACCATGAATAATGTAATAGTAACGTAAATCAATGCTAATTCAAATTGATTTCTTTAGCCAGGTGTGTTTACGCGTGGACATGTTAAAAAAATACAGTCGCTTAAAAACACAAAATAACTATTTTAATAAGTGAATAGAGTTGGTTTAGGTCCATTTCTCTATTCCCATTTCATTTTGATTCATTACAAAATCGGAGTTTTTTGAAGTTATACTTCTTTAGCCGCGTTATGAAAAAATTATGAGAGTGAAATTTTAAGATGCGCGCGCATCACTGTAACACAAAAGTAACATAATGAAGTTAGCCGCGGGTCCGTTATGAAAAAATGATGAGAGTGAAATTTTAAGATTCGCGCGCAACACTGTAACAGAAAAGTAACACCATGAAGTCGGCCGCACATTACTAGTAAGTCTCGAAAAAAAGCTTCCAACAAAATAGTAATAGGATCTCTTAGTCGCACATGTTGGGACGCTCGTCGCCTCTGATTTCTGTAAAAACTGTAAGAATGTGCGGGAGGGTGGGAGTGTGAGAAGACTGACGTCAAATAAAGATAGGCGTAGGTAGAAAATACTTACATTGTGATTACTATTCAATATTTGAGAAATGGTATTACTGTATCCCACAACGGTGGAAGTACATGTATACTATTATCAAGACACTAAGACGTCCCACGTGGTGGAAGCGTATAGCGTGCAAGACAATAGGCCCTACCTACGAAGCGATGACTTGGTCAATTTCCCAAGAACACCTTATACAAGTGGTGTCAGTATAGTATAGCACGATTCACATGCGTACAGCGCCATCTAGTAGCGGTCGGCGTGATGATATTTGATCCTATGATGTGCCATACAATCGGTGTCGGTATAGGATAGCGCGATTTACATGCGTACAGCGCCATCTAGTAACGGGCGGCGTGATGATATTTAATACTATGGTGTTACAAAACTTATTTACTTAGATTAAATGATAAAAACCATCAGTATATTGTTTTAAACTTTCATGGTCACTAACCATCATCAATCATCAAATCAAACCATCAGATTTTTTAATAAAAACTTACTAAGATTAAGTGAGGAAAAACAATCAATTTTTATACATTTATGAAGTATGTGTTTTGTAATTATTAATTATTTGCATGCAATTAAAAAATATTTTTAATGATGCTAAAGAAGTATAACTTCTCACGCGCGTACATAAGTTACACGCATCCATTTTTTTTATATAGCCAGGTGGGCAAATGCCTCTACCCCACCCTATGTTATGTGGTGTAAAATAAAGTCCAAACGCGAAGATACCTGGTACAGCAGTTATAAACTGCCACAACAACCATCCTCACCTTGCCGGCCTGCAAAAAGGCTTCTTCACGCCTCTCTTAAAGGACCCCAGATTGTAGAAAGGAGGGAACAAATGCGCGGGCAAAGAATTCCACTTACGAATAGTACGACAAAGAAATGAGTCACTTTTGTTTTCTTAATCATTTATAAATAAATTTATATTTCCAACACTCACACCAATTAGCCTAGCCCCAAAGTAAGCACTATAAGGCTTGTGTTAAGGGTTGCTAGGTCTGGCTGATCCATGACTGGAGTACAAATGATCGTATTCATCACACAAACCCTGAAATAATTTTCTTAAAACTTTCAAATACCCGTTTGCATGATAGCCAATTTTCATGCTGACACTTCACATAGCTATTCGTATTTGTAAATTGGACATTCGACAGCAGTATATCCTTTTCATTATGTTAAGACTATGTATATTGCTGTGAAATGCACTAGTGCGAAGTGTATTTGAAAAATATCAGAACAATCGCCATTGGTAAATATTGAAATCTTGGAAGCAATTTATAATTTTTTCATCATTCACTGTGGCAGATAAAGGTAAAAAGGAAATATTCGCCTTTTGATTCGCTGAGCAGTACCCTTAGCACGAACCAGTATCCAATTCGCACAGTTTGCGAGTGCGAAATGTCATTGTCATATTTTGTAAGGAAACTTGAACAGCAGCGCCATAACGGACGTAACGAGAACTAAAAATCATTACACATTTGACAATGACATTTTGCATTTGCAAACTATTCGAATTCGATATTGATTCGTGATAACGGTACAGTATACTTATGTTAAACATATTTTTTTAAGATCGCATCGATACTAAAGCACTATTATATAATAATTATTATGAATATCGCTCCTATGGCTACGTAATAATGACGCTGTTAATATCAATTTCTATCCAATAACGTAGATTCGCAAACAAAACAAAAGCATTTTAACAGTTGTTTGCCTGAAAATATCCTAAAACTATATAATGAGTTATTCAGAAGATGATTAAAGGAATGCATCAAAATGGTAGGAAATTATTTTTAATGAAAGCCTTACAAATGGGAAACCTAGTTAAACGGTTTTCGACGATTATGGCTCACCTTTTCAGTTTCTTGTTCCGTGGTATGATTGTGATAGCCCACCTCGTTTGAGGATTGCGTTTCGGCTCGTGGCCTATATACCATAGGATTTCCTTTACATTCCACTCTTCTAGCTTATGCGAACCCTGAAATAATTGACATTATATATTTTCATTGTTAACTAGGTGTTTTAAATCGAAACAAAAATTGTTTCTCGATTAATATACTTGAGGAGCTGGCGAACAAAACGGTATAATCACATAAAGTGAAATTTTACAGGAGCTGTATAAAACTGAATGACATACCTACAGTGAGGTTTTGGCATGGTTTTTAAGTTATAAATTTAGTAATTTTAGGTGGTTCTTATTGAAAATTTATTTGAGATTCAAATTCAACGGGCCCGTAATCTCCGGACGTAACTATAACGTTTTGTTCGCCAGGTCCTCACTTATACTTTTTTTCACATGACGTTACAAAACATTTTCCATAAATATTGCGATATTAAAGTGAAAGGAGAATACACGAATTCCATAGTATCCCGCATAAAACTGTTACTCAAGTGTCTTATCTTAACCATATTTTAAACTATCGTGTTTTAATTTTTAATTTAGTTTGGGCCACTTAGTTTACTATATCTAAGCTTTATTACCTTTTAAAAGTATTCACGCTCTTTCATAAGTGGCCAAATGAAATTAAGACGAATTCAAAAAATAAATTTGACAATAAGGAAGAAATGCAAGTGGTCGCATTATAAGTTAATTCGTTTTGTTACATACTTTGTGTCTATAATAATAATATTTATTTATTTGCCGAAATTGTGTACATAATTGAGATGTTATTTTTAAAAACAAGTTTTGCATCAATTTCTGCCAGCAATGGCTTGCAAATATCAAAATAGAAATGTCAACAAAAATACTTTGCTTACAGAAACGAGTTGGTGGAGAGCATTCTTTATTACACTATTGCTTACAGAAAAAAAACAATGATGGAAAATTGCAAACTTCGTCACGCGTGCAAGGGGGCTATCATTGACCGTAGCCACGACAATAATACAATCCAATGACAGAAAAGCTTAGCTTTCGTTGATACTAGCTAGAGAAAGTCGGACGAATTCGATGGTGCGGGTAGTATGAGCATTCGGTCTGCGATCTTGAAAGTTAAACAACATTCGCAATGGTCGGCCCTTGCATGGGTGACCAAAAACTTATTATCTCGAGCTCCTCCGTGCTTCGGAAAGCACGTTAAGCCGTTGGTGGCCGACTCCATCTACAATCATTAGCACCCACCATTCACAGTCTCCCTTTTTCATCCATAGCGAAGGCGTGTACTCCTGCAGTGGGGACTTTAATAGGTTGATGGTGATGAAGCTAGGGGAATAATAACGCCAAAGCATAGAAGTTACAATTTCAATTTTACAAAAGTTTCTATAACAAAAAATAACTAGCCTGTTTATCTTTGAAACAGCACAGCACGCCGTTGTGACATTCGAACATGTGCGACTTGAAAGCCTTCGACGATTCCGTGGCCAACTTCAGCTCCCCGCATACCATCGAAACGGAGTTCCTCAGGGACTCAATCTCGGTCAACATATTATTATCGGTGACAACCAAATAGTTGTCTTTCCTGTCCTCCTCGTCCCAATATCCCCATCTGAGAACCACGTCGAGTACTATTTCGTCGATGTGCACTATTCGACGCATGGAGTCGTTGCAAATAACCTCTTCTAACATCAAGAGGTGAGATTCTGTTTTCGCTTTTTCGCACAATTCTATGCATATGTCGGAGCTAGTTTTGTTTGGCGTTAACTGAAATAGTAAAAGGGATTTTTGCACTTAGTTAATAGAATTGAGGACCTTAGTAGAACGGGGTGACAAAAAAAGCCCTTGCTGAGTTTTTTGTTGTTTTTTTTCAATAAAATGTCTACAGAAGTAATGAATAAAATATATTTTGAAGTATTTAAACTTTCAGCTTGTTTTTTGGCAGACTAGAATGTATAAATATTTTGTTAGTTCTATCTATCTATATAGTAAAAATAATATAAACGGATAACAAATTAAGAAATGAAAAAATCTTTGATTATTTACTCTCTAGATAGAGCGTGGCAGCGCAAATGTGTTGAAAAAAAAAATATCTTTATCAAATGACATGTCGCGAGTGTCAGATACAAGATTCGCCTGTTTTAGTTTGCGTGTTACGCACACAAGTTTACAAAAACTTGTCCTGTTTTTTGTTGCAGTGTTTATAAGGTGACGCCCTATCTAGAGTGTAAATAATCAAATGAAAAAGCCTCTAGGCCTCAAACAATGACAGATTAGATATGTATAAGACAGAAACGACATAACTTTTCGTTAATGTAGCTACTTATGTGAAATGCTGATGAGTTTCCTGCTCCCGTTCTTTTTATCAGCTGTAAATGTCCTGAATGGGTGGTAGGAAAACTTTTGGACCCTCCAACAGAACTTTCTAATAAGTAAAATTGAATTCTGTGTATTTTAATTTCATACGAACTTGATGGCTAAGTGTTCCCGTCTTTGACATAAATCCACGCTTTCAGATCGCCCGCTGCTTTCTTCGGCACTGACATAGCATTGCCCAACACCGTCGTCAGTATGGACCAGCTGATATTCTAGTCTTCAAACAAAGACATAACGACAAGATACGAACCGTGACTTGATGGCAATTATTCCTGTCTTTGACATAAATCCACGCTTTCAGATCGCCCGCTGCTTTCTTTGGCGTAGTGACAGCATTCCCTAACACCGTCATCAATACTCGTCTCACCGCCGCCTCACGTCGCTTCTCAGAATCAGTGGGTTCCCAAACCGCTTCAAAGTTGGATATCAGATCGCGTACAACGAAAACCTCTTTGGCAGACCATGCAGTCTGTAAGGTGTTGCTAGTCTAGAAAAAACAAGAAATATACCTTCTTAACTTTAACAAAATATTTAAATGCACACATTTAATGAAAGCAGTTGAAAAGAGGTGTTATTATATGATTTATATACAGGGTGTAAAAAATCCTTTAACGAAGTCGAAGGCCAAGTATTTTCCACATCATGACGATATTTTTTTTCTTCTCGACCATACCTGGGATATTTATGGTTATGGAGATATTAAAGGTTAAAGTCACATTTTTTTTTCATGATTTATATATTAATATATTCAAAACGTTATTTAGATACGATTCTTTTTATCGACGCACTTACACACACGCACGTACATACACACAGGCACATTCTTTGCGTAGCGCCACAGTAGCGCGCCGCGCTATACATTGCGTACTGGAAAAAAAAATTTTTTTAACTTATAAATACAAATGATTCCCACGTATTATATTTTGTAATATTACTTGTTAACAGAATGCGTAGTTTTAGTCTTTGTCATAAGTTTTTTTACAACCTGTATAATTTTATAGATTGTTAATTTATCTATCACTGTTGCTTGGGGACACGGATTTAGGTTCAATAAAAGTTGTGGCACCATTACCCATTAAAATTGTCTGTAAATACTTCCTAATAAAATACTTATATAAAAAAAATGGATGCGTGTAACTTATGTACGCGCGTGAGAAGTTATACTTCTTTAGCATCATTAAAAATATTTTTTAATTGCATGCAAATAATTAATAATTACAATAAAATAATAAAAGGACTGGAAAAGGATAGTTAACACAGTCAATTAAGTTCAGTTTTAATTTGAAAAATTAAATAAATATTCAAAATATTCAATTAAAAAATCACTACTGAATTTAAGTTATTAGTCCATATGTAATTAGCACTTGTAAGTAACTAAAACACGTTGTGACTATATAGAAACTAGAAACATGTGGATAAATATTATAAATATGAAAACAGTGATCAGAGGCGACGAGCGTGCCAACATTGTTTTTGACAACGCGATCATCTTATGGAGCTCCGTGGATCGTTCAAAGTACCCTTCGAACAGATGTGTAATGAACAGATGTGTAATGTAATGGTGGATTATTAACCACTAAGTGGTTAATAATCCACCATTATTAGACACTAACATTCATAACGCGCCCGCGGCCAACTTCATGGTGTTACTATTGTGTTACAGTGATGCGCGCGCATCTTAAAATTTCACTCTCATCATTTTGTCATAACGCGCCCGCGGCTAACTTCATTATGTTACTTTTGTGTTACAGTGATGCGCGCGCATCTTAAAATTTCACTCTCATATTTTTTTCATAACGCGGCTAAAGAAGTATAACTTCAAAAAGGTTATAAGATCGAATGTATTATTATAACTTATTTGTAAAGTAACTATGGAACCTGAAAAGCTTTAAAATTTAAGAATTCCTTATAATAGTAAAAATATGCGCACTTTAGGACGCGTTCAAGTGTTTTAAACAATGTTTGGTGTATGCGCAAGTATATAAAAACAATCGTGTATTGTTTGATAAAAGTCTACCAATGGCTTGTGGCCTCGCTCACACTACACTTATATGGTCTTAATTTATGGCAATAACATTAGAATAAAACAACGCGTGACTATTTTACTCTTCTTCTCTGAGGAGGTCCGTAAAACTTTAACTATATATTTATAAATCCAGCAAATTCAGTAATAGTAACATTTAAAAAGGCCTTACCAATGCAGCGGGCATAATCGTCGGCGCCCACACGGAAGCCAAGTTTTCTGCGCTCATTTTGTTCGCGTGCGACATCGTAGTCAAGAAGTGGAGGTGCGCGAACAGTTTGCGCGCTGTGTTCCGCGCCACTAGTGGTAAAGACGAAATAATACGCCGGTATTCAGCGTGACGCGCATAAGACTCTTTGATTTCTGAAATTAAGGTTGTACTAAGTCAACTTTATCATAGTCATATAATTGATTTATTATTACTTCGGTATCAGCAAATCAAAGATTATGATCAGATCTGAAGAGAGCACCAGAAGAACTAAAAGAGACAAATTTAGACAAATTTTGTCTTTTGTCTGCCGCTAGGCGACCAATATTACAGTCAAAAGGAGACGATTTATTATAAATAATTGATTCTATTGATGAATATAGCCGGGAAAGTTTTATTTTAGGCAAGTAATCTGAACTCTTCTGAATTTAGTGTTACCAATAAAATTTACTTGTATAAAATACTAAAAAATCTGCACTAAAACATTATCTTGGTCTAATTGCGACTAGGTTCGACTCACCCAAAGCAGTGGTAAGGGCGTTATGCTTTTCCTGCGGTACCAGAGATTCGGGTAAATCTCTGAAGAACCTCTTGAGCACTCCGGCCACGTCGTGCTCCGAATGCTGGCTGGGGCTGAGCTGGACCGACCACGCGTCGCGACGGAATCTGGCTAGTAACTCCGATAGTACGGAGCTACTGCCCGCTCGTCTGTATATGCCTTCAGATAAACTACCTGATAGATGAAAAGTAAACTGTTAGATCGTGGTTCATATAAGTAACGATGTGGATAACAAGAACACCCATATCTCCTTAAGAAGGTAACCAGTTATGCAAAAGTAGTGCAGGTCATAAAGAGGTAGGGTATAAATAGTAAATTACCTTGCATACGAAAACCAAATAATATACCTCAGTTTACGATCCTCATTTCCTTAATGTCCTTATTGTCACAAGACCCAGGCATCTTCTGCAGTTTTCTTCCTACATGTGGCCGTACTATGAACTCTTTAATAATAGGAAAAAACAGCGCTCAAAACGGGATGCCGCTATACCAGATGTATGTACGTGATGCCTCGCTCTAACAAAGGAATTTGCCTGTCGTCAAGAGTCCATAATATGGCCTTTAGATTGCTAAGTAATTTCAAACGAATACTTGCCGTGAGCGTATATGAAGCTGATGCATTTGTCCACAACAGTGGGCACGTCCTCTTTTGTCAGCTGCTGGTGGTGTATCTGCGCACCATTGTTGTAGGCGGCAAGCTTTATCATATACCGCCAACCCTAGAAACGTCATAATCGAATTGTTTCATCAGTACAGAGGCCAGTTAAGTTTTTTTGTGTCTACATACTATCCATCTCATTTTAATCATATTGGGATTCGATAAAAAAAATAGAATTAACTGGTAAATATATTAAAAATACTTAATATAAGACTCAAATCAACAGATGTTGCTGTTTGCTTAAAAATTCCTAACAGCGTCATCTGTTGCACTGAAGTCTAAGAATTTGCTAAAGTTAGTCTCTTTGCATAGATGTCGTTACCACAGAACATAAATAATGTTGAAAAAGTAAATGTGCAGGCAAAGTTGATAAACCTTCTGCCGAAAACTTACGAGTAACAAAAAATGTCAAACGACCAACCTTTAATTCCCTTTCATGTGGAAAACGTAGATACAAAGTAGCGTGAGGGCAGTCCAGCAGTAAGCTCCCGCTGCCGTCGTTGGGGCAGATCTGTTTCGTCTCGTCGTCTGCATCTTGTGAGACTGTGGGCAAACACCACATAAAAAATAACACATACATACGCATCCACAAAACCATGTTCTATTCCCTTAGAACAAGACTCAGTTCGGCTTAATTAACAAATGAAGATGATTATAAAACCGACTATATAAGTGTATTCTCATATCAAGCAAAAACCGGCAAATAAAACACGTCTGTTGTGTAGGAGCCGCCCTTAAATATTTATTTTAACTTAATTATTAATTTTTGAAGTTAATACATAATTAAATATTATGTGTTCATTTAGTTATTTCAAGCGACTACCTTTTCGGTTATTAATATCGAGCAAAATAAAAATCACTAAATATTTTATTTATTCTGTTTTTAGTTACCTGTTCATGAATTTACAGCCTGGTGACAACCAACCAACCCACTATAACCTTTTTCTCCGGGCATGTATAAAAGACAGTGGAGCCTTAGTAATAAGGTTTTTATGGTTGCAATAAATTATTTGAGTTTTAGTTTATATGACGTTAGGGTTCGAATATAAAAAAATAATAATAATGCTTTATTTCTTCTCCACATAATGCCATACACAAAAAAATATACAAACTTAATGTTTTATTTTTTTAAGGCAAGATTGGTAATGGTGCTCACTCGCCACTCGGCGTACTCACCAAAACAAGCTCAACCTTTCAACTGCAATCTGATATTTCTCGGGATTGGCTACGTTCGGTGCTTTTCTGAGAATATTATAATTATATTCACCCATTATTATTGGATTATTTGCCACGGAATCATTTAAATTTCATAGTGAAATTTAAAAAGTATTTGTTACGAATTGGCCCTGACCTAATTCATAAATAAGCGAATATAATTCTGAATATGTTGTTTTCTTTTTTACGCTGAAATATTTGCAGGTGCTGAGTTCCTCTACATTGATTTGAAACCATTTTAATTTCTTCTTTAGTACTGTAACGCCGAACTGTAAAGTACCATCCTATTCGCGTCCTTGGGACAACATCCTTCTTAAGCACAAAGCACTCCCAGAGCAGTGCTGGTATGCTTAAGTACTTAAGTAAGTACTTGACGTCTGTCTCTCAGAATTATAGCCAATAAGGCGAATTAAGCGAGGTTCATATTATAGCTGAGCACATGATGCAAGGTATTGGATAATGATCGAAATATTTGTTTACATAATCCCTATGTTCGTCTATTCATTTAATATATTTATTATCCCATCACTAAATGCATCGTTATTCGTTGACGAGGGTAATCAGACAGGTGATACAGCAAAAGCTGCCCATTACAAGTGCTTCCACTTTCACCTTGATAACGGAGACATGAATGGAAAACTATCTCAACTATCTGTAACTATGTATACAACTTTTTAGTTTTCCTTTGCTGTGTTTAATGTAATTAACTTAATTATTAGAAACCGACTTCCTGTATGTACTCGATATAAAATTACAAAAGTAAAATAAACGAGATATTAACCACGCTGAAACGTAAAAAAACAATTCAGCATAATGGCAACCCTGACGCCGTGTTAATAGTCAACCAATGACGCCCGTTCAATCGCATTTCATGATTTCACGACGTGGTTGTGGTGCGGCTTGTTGGTCGCTATTCCAACATGACAAATGAAACGGACCGCATGGCTGCGTGTGCAGCCACTTTGGTTTGATTCGGTGGTCACATTGATGTATACGTCAATAAGTGGCCAAAATAAATTAAAAAATAATTGTAAATGAACTGCATTCAAGATAAGAAGATAAATTATGTTCAAAAATTTTCTAAAAGTAATATTAATAGTAATATTAGAGTCCGTAAATTCCTCTTTTTACCCGGCTGCGCAATGCAAGAGCGCGAAGCGCGACGCGCAGACAGGGTTATGTGTTTAACAGTCTATATATGTATGTTTGTTCCTTTGTGGCACACTAGAGAGCAAACGCCTGGACCGATTTTGATGATTCAAACATCAATCGATTCGTCTCAATCATGGGAGTGCTACTAAAGATATGATAGTAATCAAAATTCAATATGGGCAAAATTAGGCGCCATATTGTGACGAAGTAAAAAAAATAAGTTGACAAAATATGTCGAGTGGGGTATCACTGTCTAGATAATCAAAAATCATATTTAGGTTCCTAACACCATTTTTCATTTTATATGATTGTTTAGGATCTAAAACGCTTTAAAGTTGTATATTAAGCACTTACGCTTTTAATTTCAATCTTACGTTTGTACGGATCTTTGTTACTTTTTCACATAAAAAATACTGAATGGATTTTAATGAAACTTAACAGTAATATAGCTCATATATGATAATTACATATATATAATAATTTATGTAGTTATTGAGTGAATTGGCCAATATATAACAATAAGTGTCACATAAGACGGAAAAAAATCTCCCATCTGCGAGCCATTTTGGCCTGCACTGCAAAAACAATAAAAGTTACATGAATGTAATGTAGAGTGAAAATGTATCTCTTAAATAGTTCTAAAAAAAGTCCGTGACACCATATATCTATTTTTAATGTGTAAGTCATTACCGCTAAAATAGTGAAACAAAACTAAAATATTATTTGATATTTATTTTCAAAATGCACATTTTGTATTAACAAATCATTTTTTATCAAAACAAATACTTTTATCGCTTTTGATATTTAAAGACGATAAACTTTGCTTTTTACATTTCGACAAATATTTAAAAAGTTACAATGATGACAAAGTGATAGCGCGGTGTACAATGTAAAAGAAAAAAAAAATGCGGTATTTGCAGTATCTGATCCTATACGAAGTATGTACTAACAATAAAACTGTGATACAGTTCCTTCTTATTAAATGATGAAAAATATATTATCATAATAGGTATTTATGATTATTGAATTTTAATGAAAAACTCAGAATTTTACTGTTTTTCATTTTTTTAACGATATTACTTAATGTTACAAAAAAGGTTCACTTAATATAATGACAAATAACCCATTTTTTGCTAGTAAGTACATACTTATTGGAATCCCTGTATTTATTAATCAGCTCGCGATAATATTAGTTTTGTAATAATTCTGAATAATTCAAAGTAAATCATGTAGATTTTTATAGGTAAATCACCGCTTTCATCACCCTACGCCTATAAGTATTGCGATGTTGTAGCTAAGAACCAAGTTCCCATCTACTTCTATATGGATTCATTATATTCGATTTAACTATTAGGGCACGGAAGCGCAACAAACAAACTCACTTTCGCATCTATAATATTATATTATACTTACTAGTGATCCACCCGGGCAGTGTACGGGCGAAATTTATTTATCGGGATAAAATATAGCCTATGTCACTCGGATAAAATGTATTTAAATAAAGAAAAATGTTATAATAAATATGTAGCTACCTTATGATGAATTAATATTTGAAACCGATTCAGTAGTTTGACAGATTATTTGTTAGAAACATACAAATCTTGCCTCTTTATAATATTAGTATAGATAGTTAGGATAAGACAAGTACATATTTAATTGATGAAAAAGATTTAAAAATAAAGTAAGTAATAGGTTTATTTGATTATATTTGTAAAAGTTACTTAGCATTTGTGCTTAACAGTGATACGTTATTCGGTATTTTTTTAAACAAAAAAAAAATTGGGAAATAATTGTCATGATTGCACAACTGGGAGTACTCTTCATTCGAGCTTTACACTACCAATAAAAAAGGGTCGAACACAAAGTTTGACCTGTTAAATGTGAACGCTTTAAAAGAAAACTACAAAGAGAACTATAAATTGATAATAAATGAGATTGCTATGGTGCTCTACCTAACGTTATGAAATTTTTATTATGCGCCTTTAGTTTAATCAAATATTATAAACTTTGCTTTGGTGATTGCATAATTATTTAATTTAGTGATCTAAGGCAGTTGCCACCATTGTTCAAAACAACAGCCTTTCTTCAACCTGCGACATAAACGTCATTGATTGGTATTGTATATAGGGTGATTAAAAACATTTGAAGTTAACTTCTGGCATCTACATATTGGGTTTCTGTGAATTATGTAGGTATATCAAATTATGAGACTAGGGACTGACACTGAATTTGTGTATATCACAATCTTAGACGACCGGCATTGACATGACAATGCAGCCACTGCCAATTTTAAATAGTCGACGAATAAAAGTAAATGACTTTTATATTTACTACTAAACTATTAAAAAAAACTTAAACAAAAGATGACTTTTTGAGTAAGTGCTACTTTACTATAAAATTTACATATATTAGAGATATTTATGTAACGACTTAATTTAACTTCACACATTTTTGCCAAAAATTGAGGCCTATCTGTAGCCTTGACCCCGCTGGTAAAGTCTTTATATGTCTTAATAAATCAATCTTTTAGACCGACGCAAGGTACTTAATAATTCCCGCGATATTAATTCCCTTACTGAAGTAACAAGACTACGGTATATACCGTCTTAAAATACTAACTAACTAAAAAGTGTGAAATAAAAAAGGTAAATTTAAAAAATCAAAAAACCCGACTGCTTAAATATACTTCAAATAAAAACTGAAAAGAAAAAAACAAGTCCAGTAGTCTATAATTCTGTTAATAAGGAACAAAGCTACTTTAACAGTCGGGACCCATTAGATATTCAAGAATACAAACTGTTAAAGTAGCTTTGTTCCTTATTAACAGAATTATAGACTACTGGACTTGTTTTTTTCTTTTCAGTTTTTATTTGAAGTATATTTAAGCAGTCGGGTTTTTTGATTTTTTAAATTTACCTTTTTTTAGTTGTTGGTCTTTTTAGGGTTCCGTACCCAAAGGGTAAAAACGGGACCCTAAAAAGACCAACAACTAAAAAGAGGAATTTACGGACTCGCCCGCGTCAACACGGCCCGTTTGAATCCTCTTTAACGACTGCGACCTCTTATATTAGGGGGAGTGAGAGTGAGGGACACAGGGGGAGTAAGGTAAATGAGCAGTAACTTCATCGCATCGCATTACACTGTCAGGATTTGCGAATGTCAGTTTGGTTTAACAG